CCAACAAAATGATCGGCAAACTTACTTTGACTGGGCTGCGAATTGCAATGCACAACTAACTGCATCCTCGTATTCGCCTCCTTCATGAGATATATCATGGTCGATTTCATCGTGCCAGTGGTCTTCAGAAGTCAGAAAACCCATGTTGTCATCAGGGAGGGCGCCTGAACTCGCAGCGATGCTGCTAAATGCCCTGCGTGTATCTGTAGGTAATGCTATTGAAAAGATCAATAAAATAAACGAACAGGAGAGACTTGATTACGCACACATCAGGTAGCCTCGACGCTGTTTCAGGCCGTCCTGCACCTCCTTAGCAACTCGAGCACCAGACTTGAATTGGCCCTTCCCATGCGTTTGCGAAGTTGCATGCCGAATTCCAAGAGGGACCTTGAGTTTTGAGGCTGCTACATGCCTACCACGCCGATGAGACATGATGGAGAGAAGGTGAAAGCAGTGGAGAAGAGTGAAGAGGCGTTGACGCAACGTGCCCATGTGGTGCCACGTAGCCGATATCTTCCGGTGGCGATGCGATGCATGCTAGCACGATGCCTTGAGGCAATCATTCAGAAAAGGTTAGAGTGCTGGGTGGGTGGGTTGAGCTCGTTGTGTCCGACGACGAGCAGCACGGCTGTCAAAACATAAGTCACGGGACTCGTGGGACGCGTTGTTATTGATCTAATCAATTATTGTTATCTATTTAAGTCACGGGACTCGTGGGACGCGTTGTTATTAATCTAATCATTATCAGGGAGATTATCGTTATCTATTGTTATCTAAATGATCTAATCCCCAGGCTATGTACACCTGAAGTACCGAGGTAACGCTGGTGGTATTGCTGGTGTAGCGGAGTAATGGATTCGAGGGTTATAACCCCCGGAGACCAAATTAGGCACCGAGCTATATAAAGGTGAGATCTTATGTCACTCAGGTGGTCAGACTCCAATATGGCCATTGTATTTATCAAATAATTTATTGAGTTTTCCCACTATAGGCGCGTCCAACTTGGCAAGGTGCGTCGATACGCCTGAGAGCCTTGCCCCCATGGACTATGGTGAGTCATGGCCCCGGGCCCATGCAATACTTATTTCAGGACATGCCAGTGTGACGTCTCATTAAAAGTTTAATCAACCACTTCATCACGGTGCCCGACTAACGTATCTTCAAGCTTCAAGTCACTGTTCTCATTATCATACTATATGGACGCTTTGAAACATAAACAGTTCCCCCCACTCCAATGGCTCGGTCATGGGCTCGACATGACGGCCATCAGGCCGTTTGACCTCAAATCTGTATGTGACCGATGTTGCAACACTTTTCGCGCTAACATGGACTTCCCAGGTTCTCGAGACCGTCAAGAAAAACAGATTGATCATTGATTTCAGTAAGGACACCACTATGCACACCGTCACAATCAGTTAGCGTCTACCGTCTGCTTTCGAGTGGATCTTGATTAACCTTGGAACACCATTCAGATGAAGAGAACTTCGACATTCCCGAGTGCATTTTCGCATCAGAGCAACACAACGCCTCCTCCCATGATACGTCTTACGCAAATGGAGCAGATGCTATTCTCGGAGTGCAGAAAGATGCATTCCGTTACCTCATCGTCGGAAGCAACGACATGTCATACTACCCGCTGTACAGGTGGTTCCCAGTTGCCGACCAATTCGCGCTTTACTATTTCCACGCCCATCAATATCTCGCGGGTCTTCAGGATTATCTTGAATTTGTGAATGAATCCGCCTTACAGGAGGGCATCTTGCACCTGCCCAAACCTTTCACGCCAGAGTACGTTCTAACGTATAAAACATTTTTCAATACCTACGGTAGCCATGTCATCATCAATGCCAGCTACGGAGCGCGATTTCTAATGGTAATTAAGCAACCCTTTACATTTCTAATTTCTCCACTTAGCGCTCTGATGCTTTCAGAACGCCTGGGCCTCGAACAAACACACAGACGTCAATGACAACTTTCGTCGAGACGTGACCGCGATGGCCAAGGGTGTCAACAACGGTTGGACATACGACGAAAGTGTCTGCACAGAACCTCAATACGAGACATTCAGCAGACTGTCGCAGTGCGTGTTCAGTGCGTATGGTGGGGACCATGCCCTGGCGTCCGCCCTGGCTCAGCGCCAGATGAACCAGCATACGTTCACCGAGTGGCAGAAATCCATCAGAGCGCATCCTGATCTCGTTCACATCCAGACAATCGCGCTTTGGGAACTACTTCGCGATGTGGAGAGCAAAGAGCTTCGGGCCAGCGGGAAACCCATCCACGATGCGTTCAAGTATATCACTTCGCAGGAACAGCAGGTGCACATCACGTACATCACGTTTGAGATGGACGCAACATGGGCGGAACTCGGCATCCTCATTGCGGGTACCGTTGTCATGGGCGGCGATTCCGATGATGTATCTTATCCTTCAAACCTGATGCTGAGCCCTACCAAATTTCGATGGGGAGAGGAAAGTGCTGAGCAAACTCACGTTGTCGTCGTGTAATGTCGTTTCAGTCCCTCATTTCCGTGCTTCACTCAATGTTCTGCTTAGTATTCCAGTTGAGAATGATGGAACCCCCATCGACTTTTACATTTCTTGCGGACAGGGAACAGTCAAGGTTACCATCGCTGGCGTAAGTTGACGCTACTTTGACCTTTTTGCTTCTCATTACGCTCTTGCTGCAGGAGGAACACGTGGGCAAAGAAGAGAACACCGTGTGGTTCCGTCAGGTTCCTGTCGTCAAATCCAGAAACTCAGGGGTCTGAAATTTAGTTTGAGCGGAGCCTATGACCATGAACGTGTTTTACTTGAGTAGCTTGCACGGGTGTATGATTACATGTGTTACATCCTCTTTTGTCATTGTGAGTTATCCGATCGTATGATGAGCATACGCATGATGTAAACTAAAGTTAGGTCCAAGATTAGTTGCTTTCCGCCCTGAGGTGTGGCTAGTCGGAAATAGAACGAATGACAGTATGTATGATGACCAAATGTCATGTTAGACCGAGAAACCCTGATCTTCCATTCCTTCATGCGAGTGCCACAGGATCAGTAGATCCGGCGACGAACCAGCTTGCAAGTCCGAACTTTCAATATTATGACATCCATCATTGATACGTTAAGTTACAGCCTTTTGGCATCCGGGGCCCCATCTTATAATTATCTCGTTGACACTAGCCTGCGCAGACTGAGGCGGTCATGATTGGATCATACTTACTCAACATAAGTGTGACTGTCTCGGATCCGAAGCGAGAAAGCTCCCTTTCCTTGACGGCGGAGGGAGAAGTCTAGTCTTACAAATGGAGCATTACGTTGGTGCCCCAAGCTGCCCCTGTCACTTCGATCTTGTATTCCATATGCCAGCCCACACAGCCTCATGTATGTTCATGTCCTGCTCGATAACTCATGACGTACATTTTTTTTGCGGACTGAATGGTTGTGATCAACCGAAATATCGATGGGCCGCACCAGGATCTTTTGCACCCATTCCTACTTAAGCACCAATCCAACTCTCATCGGTTTTCCAGCCACATTTCTTGCCTGCGCTCTTGCCCTCCAAGAGTCTCCACCATGTCTCCTCCAATATTTCCTGCTGTCGATCGTCTTGGCTACAGCTTAAATATGGCCCAAGTAACCGGAATAGACATTAACTCAGTACGTGTTCATAAATCAGTTACTGGCCTGCCCTTGACTCTTCACAGGTTGATGCAGCTCTGAAGAAAGCAGATCGTTGGATCGTTATTGACTTCGAGAAATTTCATACTGTCGAAATTGGTCTGTTCGCCGTGAAACCCCATAGACGGCGACTGACATCATCCCCCGCTTAGACAACAAGCTGTACAATGTTCCCAACATGGTTTCCGTCGCTCAAGACATCCGACAAGTTGAAGGTCAATTTATTCATTATGCGAACGGCGACGTCGCGAATGGTGCATTTAACAAAGACCCTACTCTGAGCGGCCGCTACTTCGCGCTTACGGGACCCGCGTCTGTGGCGGCAGCCTCGCACAAATCGTTTCTCAGTGACAATCAATATGCGTTCTTCAGTCTCTCAAAGTTGAAGTATACCGTAACTCTCAAAGACTACTCGAGTAGTATCTATACAGACGGGCTCCTGGAGAGAGTCAAAGATTTGCCGATTTTTAACGGGAAAGACCTCGCCGTTGTCAAAAAGTACAACGACTTCTTCATAGCACACGGATCCCATGTCGTCATGTCTGTTTCTTATGGCGCCCGCTACCCGCTCGTGCGTCCCTTACCCGTTCACAATATCTGTATTCAGTGCTCATCGTTGTCATAGACAGTGTGGTGTTCAAACAAAGACCAATCAGTGAATGAGATGTTCCCCACAGATGTCGAAGCTGCTTTCCATGGCATTCCAAACGGCGGGCAGTTCGATGCCACAGTGAAGAACCAGACACAATACAAGAAATTTGAAAACAGCCGCCAGCATCTCGTCTCGGCCTTGGGTGGTGACGAAGATATCGCCAATCGCCTTGCGAACAACAGCGCGTCCTTTGAGGAATACGAGAAATGGGTCGGGACCGCTCGTCAACACCCCTGCTCCTTGCTGAGCCTCAACGTCGTCGAGCTCTGGGAGTTGATGAGGCTGTCGAAGGATGCCATAGTCAAGAGTTATTCTGACCAACTTTCGGCCGCATTTGATCACATCATTACGCGCCCTAAGATTTTCAAGACGCTCGTCAGACTTGACATCCGAGCTGGTGCGCCCTCCAGTGATCATTCATGCCACTGATGCCAGATACTAATTTATTTCCATCGTTGTAACAGCATATGCCGATTTCAATTTGAAGACCCCTAGCGCTTACCCTATTGCTGACCGCGCGAATCCTTTTCCAACCGGAGCCTCGATTTCTAATACACGCATCATGTGGCAAAGCGCTCACGCTGAGCACGCAATACTCTAGTATTTGTTTCTGTTTGCATCTGGGAGCTCATCGTTTAACGAAGTGTTGATCTACAGCTTCTTCGTGATCAACGATGGGTCCCCGATCGATTTCTCCACCTACCGTGGAAGTATGAGCCACTCTGTGAATGTCATCATGGAGGGTGTCAGTACCTTTATCTTTATGTACTTGCCATGATCTAACTCGACAATTCTTCTCGCACGCTTCAGAATCAGTACTTCAATAACGAGGGGATGACCACCAAATGGTTTTGGGCGGCCAAGGTGAACCCTTACCCGGAGACGAAGGGTGTCAAGAAAATAGAAGAGCCAACCACTTGGGACAAAGTGCTGCACGACTACCTCAATGCAAATGGGGAGGACTCGGCGGACTTGGCGGAGCACTCCGCTTGAGACCGCTTCGCTCCATTCACGAGTTGAATGCCTCCCATGATGATCTGAATAGAGTCATGTTTCGCTCATGTTACAATTGACCATGTATGATACGCAGGAGACGTGATATTTTTGTATTCGGATTCAAGCCGTCGGTGAACCTCTGAAGCTACTCAGTGTACCCAGCTGCGGCCACCATGGATCCGTCTTTCTTGATAACACTGACGCATATGTTTCACTAATATGTACTCCACAATTTTCTGTTTTTCGACATCCACTCACAATTAGCAAGCATCCTGCGACCCTCTCACCATCGCTGAAGTTTTTCTATCTAACTTTATCCGGACTATGGCAGAAACGACTGGTTATGTGGCACCATGAGTTAGCCAATATATATCAACCATAATTTTGCGAGGCAAGAATGAACTAGTCCAGAACGATGCCATTGATTTGGGTCGTGCCAATGGTCGCGATACGCGAGCCGCGATCTAGCAGCAGCGGGCATTCCTGCGCCGTTGCGTGCTGCACTTTCGCGGATCGATTTCTCTAACCTCGCATCTCCTGTCCCGCTGCACGCTGCGATCCAGCGTGCGTCGATGTACCAGCGGGTGTTGGTCGTCACTGGACGGTCGAAGCGGCTGGCAGTGGAGGACCATAATGCAGAGTTGAAGGATCTGGTGGAGGAGCATAGGATAGTGGGGCATGAGGTCATGACGAAGACGATTGGTGATGTGGCAACTGCGTTTGTGGTGTCGGGGTGTGCGAGTGGGATGGTTGTGCTGCAGGCTGCGAATGCGACAACTGAGTAGGTGGTGGTGTATAGTTTGGAATGGGGCTCGACAAAGCATACCTTTGACAAATGTTGCTAATTCTTGGGAGATGTGGACGTTTTTGAGACAGGACTCGACGAAAACTACTAATAGTACCTCAACACTCGTTGCGTGGTGTTGCTTGGACTGTGTATATCCATTATATCATGTTGCTGCAGTTAATATACACGTTTTAAGAGATGGACGTCGGATAGCTGTGCATCGGGTATCGATCAAGGAAGAGTGGGGACTTGCATAAGTCAACTGGACGGAAGGACAAGGGTTTCCCCATCAGATGGGCGTGGCTATTTTGACGCGGTCCTGCCGCGCCTGCCGCGGTCGTGACGCGGCACCAACGAATCTTGACGCGGCCACTGCTGACGCGCCAGTGCAGGTGTTCCTACTATATGTTCTGCATTCGACTCCCACATCAAGCTTAAGTTGGACGGGTTCATGACCATTCCTTTGTTATGTTATGTCATAGGGACATGTACTACTGGCCACTAATTAACCAACGACCATTTTTTCCCCCTCCCTCTCCGAGTCTGTGGAGCACGTCAACACTTAACATAGGACTGAATTAGCTGCACAGGATACCAATACTTCCCGAGACGGGCCAAAGCGCTTTTGCCAACACTATAATCGAGTCAGCCATATCTCAGCCAGAAGTCGCAAGTCAAACTCGTGTGTGAAGGGTAGCTGTGACGAGGCTGTGCCGCGGCACTGACGCGGCATGGATGAGGTTTGACGCGGCATGAAGTGGGCCTTGACGCGGCACAGGTAAGTGTGAACGTTGACATTAGTACAGAGACTGTCAAGATGTTTGGGAAAATCTGTCGTGGTATGAGCAGTGGTTGACCCAGCCTGAATGAGGTTCGAGATAACATGGTTGGGGCTTAACATGGTGGCCGCGTTAGTATGGACACAGAAGATAAGCACTGTAAATATGGTGAGAAGTGAATACAGCAGTCTAGGCCTAGGGCTTGTACGCAGACGGACACTCACATGCTGATCATTAACGAGGATATTTAAAGTGTTTGGAATTCAGTTCGAGCGACATAAGATGTTGTTTGAACCAAGTTTGAACATGTCTATCTCACAGTGCCGCGTCACATATGCCGCGTCACAGGCGCGTCACGACCGCGGCAGTCGCGGCAGGACCGCGTCAATTTCACCTGGCCCCCATCAGATTACATAATAAGTTCATCCGGATTATGTTTCTGCTCGTCTGTAACGTTGATCTCCTGCCCTTAGTAGACTCTGCAAGTTACGCACCTCAGCTCGACGGGGTAGTTATATCGAAGGTTGGTCAGGAAGCGCAGGATCTGTATCGCATATTTATGCTTCCCCGTGGCCTTGAACAGGTATATCCACGGCAGAAACGAAGCCTCCACTCCACCAATATCTCCGGCATTCATTGCTTGACATACGTCAACGTACAGCAACTCGTCTCGATTTCGAAGGACTTGGTTTTCAAAACGCCTGTCCTGTTGTTCCTTGGGCTTCTCACGTGCGTGGTCGAGTGTATCTGTGCGTGCAACATACTTCTCCACGATCGTGTGTGATATACTTACAATAGTATCCCAGGATGGTTTCGAAGCTGTGAACAATTCCAGGGTCGTCCACTCGCGGTTTTGGCTCTGTGCTTCAAGTCGCCAGCAGTCAAGCATCGATGCTTGAAGGTCGTGATGTATGACTTCATGCATACGTCGAAATCCAGGCTTGGTAACCATCTTCTTGGTTTCATCTGGTCGCAAGTACCCCACTGACTGGAACAGACTATTCTCATCATCTCTGCCTTCCTTTGGCTGAAGATATATACGCCAGAGCGCATCCGCACATGCCATCTTGTAGTGGAAAAGCCCGGGAAGAAAAACAACATACTGTAAGCGGTTTTTTCACCTCATGTTGGGGGAAGGATATATCAATGTGGCCAATAAGCCTAAAACCCTCATACATCTACCAGGCTAATTATCCACACCTAGAATATATCCCCTCTGTGTAATTATCCATCAGTAATTCAGCCCCCCCATATTATCTCAGCCCCCCCGTGTGTTAAGTACCTCTCCGCTGTTGCCAGCCGGTCGCCGTTTCGGAGCTTTTGGACCACGAAGACCACTGATCTTGATAGCCGGATCTAGTATACGATCCAAGGAACCATTCCCCTGTCTCAGGGACTGCACTTGCATCAAACAGAGTGTTCATATTAAGGTACAAAGGTACAGACAGGTATACTACGCGTCATATGCCAAGCCTTCTTGGGGAGGCATATCAAGGGAAGGACACTCATCCTCTCCGTCATCTATGTCATCACCAGAAGCCATCAATACTGGAACCTTCCTCCATTGCTCCTTGAACGACTCAGATAGGCTGCGCCGGATGAACACCTGTTTCTTAGCATATGCGACTACGCCCTCGATGTCTTCGGGTCTCGTCGGTACTCATGCACCTGCACGCTCATCCCATTGGCGTGCTTGCCAGTCGAGAAAGAGCAGAATCCGTTGCATTTCTTCCAGCAAAAGTTGCATTTCTTCAACCCATCTATCACGATGCGCCCTGGCCTTACACCATTCAATACGAAGGGCTAGCAGTTGCAATCAGTAGAGTACAGTTGATCAATACAAGGACTCACAATCTTGTAAGCCTTCACTATCGTCATCTGCTAACCCGTAAGTCAACCAAAGCCAAGACATGATTGCAGTCCCTTGCGACTGTCCTGTCAAGTCTCCCATGGGCTGGAGATGTGACTTCTTGAGTGGCTGCAGCTTCCGTTCCCAGACAACATGGTCGACGTGCTCTGAAAGAGCCACGAGTGCCTTGCGTGCGCACATACTTTGCGTGACTGACAATGAGACGGTCTTCTACAGCATCCAGGGTCTTCTTTGCACGAGTGTTGGCACCTTGGCCACGGATATGTCGTTGCTTGAATTGCAGAAGTTGACGACAGAGACGGATGTGAGAACGGCACTCATTGAGTGCATCGTGGGCTTGCACTATTCGGAGAGACCATTCAACCTCAAGATGCTTTTGATCGCACGGCACTTGGCTGCAAATCTCTGAAGGTAGCAAGAGTTGAATGTCTTCTGCCTTGCCGGATTCAAAGTTTGGCCTAGGGCAACCGCTGTCGTCGTCGTCGTCACTCCTCGAGTTGGTGAAGCCAGTTCAGACCCTTCAGTCACATTGGATGTAGAAGTGGTGCCCCGGATGTGCCAAAAGGCTGTAGAATATGACCCAGCCTGCACCGGCCTGGCCAGGTAGATATGTGGCTGGCCGATTCGTAGAAGTGGGCACGGCCAGTGTACCTTGAACTCTGCTTAGGCACTGAGGGAATGTGTAGGGCGAGGACTGGCCAGCCTTGTAGGAGAAGTACTGGCCAGCATTCCTACACACGACTGTACAGGAGTACCGGCCGAGCGCACAGGGCATTTACTGCCCAGCTCAGCCAGGAAGAAGCCTCAGGCCAGCACTCTTATACAATCGTGTAAAGGAGTGCCGGCCGAGTGCACAGGGCAGGTACTGGCCAGCTGCCAAGAAACAGCCTCCGGCCAGCACTCTTATACAACTGTGTATGGGAGTGCCGGCCAGGTACTGCCAGGAAACAGCCTCCGGCCAGCACTCCTCTACAATGGTGTACAGAAGTGCCGGCCGAGTGCACAAGGCAGGTACTGGCCAGCTGCCAAGAAACAGCCTCTGGCCAGCACTCTTATACAACTGTGTATGGGAGTGCCGGCCAGGTACTGCCAGGAAACAGCCTCCGGCCAGCACTCCTCTACAATGGTGTACAGAAGTGCCGGCCGAGTGCACAAGGCAGGTACTGGCCAGCTGCCAAGAAACAGCCTCCGGCCAGCACTCTTATACAATTGTGTATGAGAGTGCCGGCCAAGTGCACAGGGCAGGTACTGGCCAGCTCAACCAGGAAACAGCTTCCGGCCAGCACTCTTATACAAGCGTGTATGGGAGTGCCGGCCGAATGCTACCAAGAACTAGCCTCCGGCCAGCACTCCTGTACACGACTGTACAGGAGTTGCTGGCCGAGCCCATAGGGCAGGTACTAGCATGTACAAAGGTACTGGCCGGCCATGTAGGGTAGGTACTGGCCGGCCCCACTTATAAAATCAGGTATATAGTCTTGGCTGGCCTTGTAAACTATATACCGGCCACCCCATCATGTATATTGCTTTGCCTAGTAATATCAAGTAGATCTATGAGTCAAAACAGCAAGAATACAATGTGCTATGCTAGGTCACTTTCGCATGGCCTTTTTTGAGGGTTGCCTGGGTCTGCTGGATCGACGAATATTGTCAGTGGTAGCCTTTTTGGATGGTCTTCCAGATCCCCCAGATTTTCCTCTTTTCTTCCCTTTCTGCACGACGACGACGACGACCTCCTCCTCCTCCTCCTCCTCCTCCTCCTCCTCCTCCTCCTCACCACGCTGTTCCTTATCTTCCATATCATCCTTACCACCGCTGTCCATTTCGATCTCCACCAGTTTCAACAGCTTCTGGTTGTACTCCTCCAGCTCTCGCTTTCTCTCCTCCAGCTTTCTCATGTCCTCCTGCAGCATCACCATTTTCTTCTTCTCTTCCTCCACCTCCCGCGACTCCTTGTCAACCTTCCTTGTCAACTCATCTGCCTCCATTTCCGTCCCCTCATCCTCTTTCTCTTCCCTGGTTGAAATCGTCCGAATGGCAGTATCAGCTCCGTGTTCTTCACCACCAGCAGCCTCAGCAATGGCAGCATGTTGTCCTTCCTTCGCCTTGAGCATCCGCATAACCCCACCTCTGGCTGTATTGATTGCCTCTATGACGAGGTCGTGGGTCTTGATACTCAAAATAGAGGTGCCAAGGTAAGAGGGGGTGTTCAGGGTAGCTTCGTCCTCCTCATATTCGATAACTCGCTTGCATTCTCTTAGCAGCATCCCAAGACCTAGGCTGACCTTCATGGCTGATTCCAAGCCAGAGATCTTTGCAGAGAGGACTATCTCCAAGAACTTGTTCAACTCACGCTCGTCTGAGTGCACACTATTCGGAAGGTGTGATCTGTCCCAACTCCATGTCGCCCAAGCGGGCCATTCCATTGCCTCAGAGCTTCGTTCCTGTGTCAAGTGAGTATCAAGTTTCACCAATCCAGGTATTAATCGCAAACGTACCTTTTTCAAGTCACCGAGACGTGAAATCAAAAGTAGATATTCGTCGTGGCTGCTGAGAGACCGTAAGAATGACATCCGATCCTTCTTTGGCACAGTGGCTGGTGTGCGCACGACTTCTTGACCAACTGATGGTCGCTTAACCAGCCCTGTCGATGGAGTGAGATTATCATCAGAGCTATCCTCGGAGCTGTCCTGGGTCTGCGGTCTTGAATTCTTGGTGGGCCTTGTGCTGGCCTTGGGCTTGGAGGAAGCCTTAGCCTCGGCCAGCTGTCTTGTACGTTTCGTGGACGTAGGCGCCGCTGAAGCCTCCTCTTCATCATCAGTGTCGACCGGTACATACTTCTTTTTTGATTTTTTCTCGCCTACATAGACAGCATTGACGAGCAGGGACTTGTTCATGTGGGAACTCACGGCCCCGACAAAAATAACCAGTTTCTGTTTCGAGGCCTTCCTGTCTTCCCAATGGCCCCAAAGATGGTTTATTTCCTGCGCCTTCAAATGAGACGGATCTTGCACGACGAAACCATCAGGGATGGAGTCTGGATCCAGGTACACCAAAAGGTTGCCGGCAATCGAGAGCCAAGGTACTGGCTTTTTGCTACCAGTGAAGACTTCTGAAAAACGGAAGTTGAGTCAAGTTAAAATCAACAGATGAAGTGATCGGCAACTCACTGTAAGATGCATGAAAAATTTGCCGAACCAACTCTTGTTGCCCCCTGAGGCTCACTCCTTTACGGGAAGGGAGCTTTGCAAACCCGTGCTCGTCCAAGATGACTTCAGGTATCGCATCTTTTCCATCTTTACTGTCTTCATCGGAGGAGTCATCATCATCATTGGTGGGGTCTGATACACGGTCATTGAGCAGTCTGAACCAATCCCCAAAAATACAGAGCTTACAAAATTCTTCCTTCGACCACTCGGCATATTTTTCAAACCCTTCGGATGTCCACTCTTTGCTTCCTCGAGAACTCAGGCTAAACGGTTTCTTGTGATTGACAGGCTGAGACTCATGACTGAATAACAATAAAATTATTATTTTACCCTGAGGAGAGTGGATAAATACTCACATCTTGACACTTAATGTCTGATCGGCATTTTTCTTGTGACTGACTAACATCACGACTCGGCAACCCATAGAACGCCGCATCTGTTCTGTAAAATCGTCGAGAACTTTTTGAGGCTTTTCTTTCGATACCTGTCAATGTTGTTATAGTAGAAATTGAAAAAAAAAAGGCAATTTACATCGCCTGTGCTTCTACTGGGGCACCTTCCCTATTCCATTTGTCCCTCGCCTCCTCAACCTCCTTCCGATGTGCAGAAGTCATGTTGTTGAACCACTCCCTCGCATGTCCAGTCCTATACTTAATAGAATGTTGCACGCCTTTCTTCTGTTGCTGCTCCTTATCATAGTCGTCCATCTCCTGCTTGAAGAGTTTCTGCGCGACGTCCCAAGCATTAAGCTCCTTCTTGTAGAACCCTGCGTCCTTAGGACGAGCCGCCAATTCTCTGTCCTCAGGGGACACGCCAGATGGTTCTTCCTCCGGCTCACCCAAGACCTCTTGCTCAGCATGTCGATCATCAGCGTCCGTTAAGAACTGGAGGTAGTACCTCCTGATAGCCTATATAATAATTATATCAGTATCATTATATACTCAACAAAACAGTACCTTTTTCAATCCCTTTGGTAAATCCTCGGAATCCTGTCTTGTGTGATGAATTGCGACAATTTCATTGCGGATCTGTCTTAGGAGATTCTGACGGGAATTCTTCTCATTTACAAACTGATCTTTGTGGAGAGTCAGTACTCCCTCCCAAGAAGCATACCATTCAGCCATTGATGACAAGAAAACGTAAGTCAGGAGCTTTTGGTAAGGGTGAGTATGCGTCGCGTAACCTTAGACCAGGCCGAAGAGTTGAAGTTTTGAAGGAGACGCGATCACGTGCATGCAAACCAAGACGTGTCATTACCAAATCACACGTGTGATAAAGTGATACCTCAATCAATTCAAATTATGTACATACAGTGTCAAGTAAATACATAATTCACCTGCGCGCCTTCTTTGCAGTCCCAGGAGGCGCTGTCTCATTCTTGCGCTTGCCTTGGGTAGAGTCAGGTAAAGACTGAGATACAAAATGAGTAGAAGGTGACTTGAACCAAGCGCAGTTCTTGGTCCTGGCGCTGTTGATGATGGACCCAGGAGGCTTGGTGACAGAAAACTTGTAGCATGGCAACTTTTGCGTGCTACCACAGTTGGTGTACTTGCATGTGTAGATGTACTGGCAAACAGAGACTTGGTGTGAGGCGTGCGCGTCGTGATTCTCATCAGAAACTGTCACAGCAACCCTCTCAGCCCAGCTCTTGGTAGAGCCACATTGGGGGCATTGCGCAGGAATAGGAATGCCCCAAGGCGAAGTCTGAGTGTGAGCGCGCGCGAATGTAGTGAGTTCCAGCTTGCAGCAACCATCAATGTTGACAGGAGTCATCAGGATGACGCTGGTGTGTTGACCGAGACCGCCTGACATACTAAGGAGGGTCGGAAATACGGTGCGGATGTTGAGTTGCTCAATCGCAACAAGTTCCGCCATGGCGACCAAGAGATTAGTGGTGACAAGGGGTTGAAAGCGAGCTGCGGGAAAGATAATTGCAGATGCGAAGTTGAATTGAAGAACGGACTCCTTGAGCTGAGTGTAGGGCGTCTCGTGTGCCACCACAGAACCGCAGACCAGGAAGACGAAGTGTGCGGACTTGAGGATCCTGGCGTAGGGCTTCAACACTGTAGAGAGAACCTAGAATAGATTAATTAATAATATTGACGCGTCAAATTTTAAAACTTACATGCTGAACTTGCATCGCAACATACTCTCCATCACCTTGACCCTCCTTCCCTGCAAAGAGCCAACCGCTGTCTTCTTCCGAATGGTTGGAGAGAAACGCAAAGACCCGACCAGTTGAGCCAAGGTGACGGACGAGCTTAGCAACCGTTTCGACCTGGTCGCGGGTGTACTTGTCGATCTTCGTATACGAAACGATGTCGAACGAGATCTCGACGTACAGAAACCCACCGCTGGGGTAGTACTTGTCGAGGTAATGCGAGAGGAGTGGAACGGGTGTGGAGATTGCGTCCTTGCCGCCAAGGGAAAAATGGACGATGGCGAGGGGTGTGGCTGCCAAGATGGAGTTGGACGCCAGCTCATACTTGCCGTTGAGCTGTAGGAAGCCTGGGAGTAGAGGCGTTCCTCCTTCCTCTGGCAAAACGTTACGGTAGAAGCCCTGAACAAAGTTAAGTAGTCAATCAATAGAACATTTGAATAAGAAAAAGAAGACTCACAAAATATGGCGCGGGCTCCTTAACCGTCCGCAATGAGTGACAAGAAAGACATAAAAATTTAACGTCCGGATGTTGGACGGCATCGACGTGCGCCTTGGGCACCTCAATGCATTTGCTGCACATGACGCGGGCGCCATCGAGACAGATCAAACACCACTGACCTCCAGTCAGTCAACAGAACACTAGAAAGAAGCAAAAAAAAACTTACTATACTGTGTTCTTCCGGAATCCTAGCGTCCTCTGGCTCTAAGGATGGCGTGGACGATTTTGATCCTGCGGGCGCCGGAGGAGAGCCGGTAGGTGCCAAAAGTTTCCGGGCAGAACCTCCACAAGACTTCTTGGCCGTGTTGCTCTTTTTAGGCGGCATTGGATAAGGAAAAGAAATGGTACTACCAATGGTAGAGCAAAAAGGACTTTGCGAATTTTCAAACCAACCAGTCATGTGATCGTGTTGTGGTTGGGCCGGCATTTGCCGCAACAAACAACATCAAATATGTTGAACATAAAGTCCAGCGCAACACTTTCACACGGTTCAATTTCAAACCACATCTCTTCTGTCCGCTCAAACCACATCTCTTCTGTCCGCTCACCCTGTTAGCCACTTACACAGACTGCAGCTGTGTAAGTGGCTAACAACTCACTGAGCACTCATTCCCTACTGCATGGTATGCGTCTTTCAATTCTAATTCTATTTCTAATTTGGTTGCATAGGTTGATTTGCGGATACCTAAGGTAAGTCTCTTCTCAACCGTCTCTTCACTGAACGCCTTCTTTCTAGACAATTTAGGACACTATTGGGGTGCCTCCAGATATAAGGTCTGTCTTTTTTGAACCGTCTCTCCACTAAACACCTTCTTTCTAGTTATTTTGGTATACTATTGAGGCGCCTATAGATCTAAGGTATGTCTTTCTTTCAGCCATCTCTTTACTGAACGCCTTCTTCATCATTGAGCTTTGAGTACTGGGGGCTTGGCTTTGGGAGTGGGAGGAGATGTATGTGTGCATTGGCGCACTTCTCCTCCCTTGCTTCACCATTGAGTACTGGGGGCTTGGCTTTGGGAGGAGATGTATGTGCGCATTGGCGCACTTCTCCTCCCTTGCTTCACCATTGAGTACTGGGGGCTTGGCTTTGGGAGTGGGAGGAGATGTATGTGTGCATTGGCGCACTTCTCCTCCCTTGCTTCACCATTGAGTACTGGGGGCTTGGCTTTGGGAGGAGATGTATGTGCGCATTGGCGCACTTCTCCTCCCTTGCTTCACCATTGAGTACTGGGGGCTTGGCTTTGGGAGTGGGAGGAGATGTATGTGTGCATTGGCGCACTTCTCCTCCCTTGCTTCACCATTGAGTACTGGGGGCTTGGCTTTGGGAGTGGGAGGAGATGTATGTGTGCATTGGCGCACTTCTCCTCCCTTGCTTCACCATTGAGTACTGGGGGCTTGGCTTTGGGAGGAGATGTATGTGTGCATTGGCGCACTTCTCCTCCCTTCTTTTATCATTGAGTACTGGGGGCTTGGCTTGGGGAGGATTCAGTGTCCACATTGGTGCGCCCCTCCTTCAACCACCATTGCGCTTGGGAGGTTTAAGTGTCCACATTGGTGCGCCTCCTCCCGCCATCCTTGTGTTGTATTTTCTCTGGAGGGATGACAACCGCTCCACCATAAGGTAACTTGTATCGTTACCTCTGACCAAATGCTGATGGCAGCTTACAGATATGTTTCTTTTGGCTTGTTCAGACATTCAAAGGTAACCTTTTTGATATTCGCTTCGCAGATACTGATTGCCAGCGCGGTTCACAGATTATGTTATTTAGTTAGCTATATTTTTCTCGCTCTACTTTTTATTACTGTATTACGCAGTACTAGACTGCCGCAGAGAGGGCCCCTCTGCGGTAGCCTTGTATTGGCTTTGTCACACCTTTGTTTTTTTTCTTCAATTAGACAGAAAGATGTACCGCCAATATAACTTAGTTGCGATTTGTAACCAAATAGAGACACCACCCTGCTCCGTCTGTGTGAAAAAGTCACGTGACTTTTAAATACTGCAGTTAGAATGTTGCCAATTTTCGCAGCAGCATATTGTTGAACTAGGGGGTGCTTGAGAGTACCCTCAGTGTGCTTGTCTTTGGTCTTGAATGTGGCGGAATAGATGCGGCTGCTGCTAGATTCGGTTAGAAGACAATCAGAGTAAGGGATGAGGCTTTTGGTAAGGCCCTTAGCATGCAGCTGGTATCTCAGGCATTCCACCTGGGCTGAGGAAACGAGCAATTGCATCTATGTGAGTTGGTATCTCAGGTATTCCGCCTGAGCTGAGGAAAAAGAGCAAATCCTCATCCAAGCTTTGAGACGCGATTGCTCTTTTCTTCATCGTGTCTATGAGTCGGTATCTCAGGTATTCCACCTGAACTGAGGAAAAGAGCAAATCCTCATATCCAAGCTTTGAGACACGATTGCTCTTTTCCTCAGCATAGGCCTGTAGCATGCAGCCGGTATCTCAGGTATTCCACCTGGGCTGAGGAAAAGAGAACTGCGTCTATATGAGTTGGTATCTCAGGTAAGGTATTTCACTTGAACTGAGGAAAAGAACAAATCCTCATATCCAAGCTTTGAAACACGATTGCTCATGCCTGAGATTTTGTCTCTACTGTAGATACACTTGAATACAAGGCTCTTGGTAAGGCTCATAGCATGCAGTCAGTATCTCAGGTATTCCACCTGAGCTGAGGAAAAGAGCAATCACATCTTTGGTAAGGCCCGTAGCATGCAGCCAGTATCTCAGGTATTCCGCCTGAGCTGAGGAAAAGAGCAATCGCGTCTCAAAGCTCGGATATGTGGGCCTTACCAAAAGCCTCATATTCGAGTGTGATTGCTCTTTTCCTGAGCCCAGGTGGAAAGCTCAGATACAAGGATTTACCTGCACGACTGTGCTATATCGCGCCTAAGACACAATATTCAACACTGGCAGACCAGTTTATTACTTGCCGTTAGCATAAGGCTCAAATTTAAAGGTTCTCCCAGCTTTTATGTCTGGACTGCCATTTCTTGAGCTTGAATTTGAAGGATGTAAGGTAACTTAAGTTGGGACTGCTGTTTCTCATCTGTTTCTTTCACAATACAGGCCTCTGCTTGGATGGTATGTCTTTGCAAATCTTATATTACGACGCCATCCAAATTAGAAGTTATCCCGATTTGGATCTTCCAACATTGTAAATTAAAACCATTTATAGTCTAGACTCTAGACCGCCTGCGGTTGAAAATTTTACCATTCTGTTGTTTCGTCTGATTTTCCAAACTCCAACCACCCAAAAATGGCGGATCCTGCTGTGACAATTCTGTCCAAGAGCCTCTGTAGGCTTATAGATGACCTACTGCGTGATTCATCGCCGTATGAGTTGCTGATAGGTGACAAAATCAATGACAATTTGCTGCAAAGAGCCAGGTAAGGGAATCTCACGTCACTGTCCAGAAAAACTTGACAGCTGGAACTTAAGGACTAGATTGTGGGCCAAGTGGCAGGACATACGTCTGTCCAGTACTGGTAGTGATGTCAAGGCGAATGCCATTGCCGAGATTGAACTTACCAGGGCTGCGGTCATAATAGCCTATGCTGTAGTTAATCCCCGTAAGTGTTGATTTGATGGTTGGGGGGTCTGTCATTCATCATGTTGCCATAGTGCGAGCGGATTTGGACGCAGATCGGTTTGTGGACAGTGCCAAGGCGTCCCATCCATCGCATGCTGACAGCCAAAGACATAAGCTAGCAAAATATTTCCACTGTCCTTCGTTTGGTTCAATATCAGAGCCGGCAACATTTGTTGACAGGCATGGAAGGATCCTTGCTTGGTATTTGCCAGAAATCATGGTGCCTGATAGAATGGTATGAATTTGATTTGATTACAGTTTAAGTCCTTTTAATAAGTTATAATTAGGATCGTGTCAACCAGTCCATCAAATTGCTGAGACCTGCCTTAGATCAGTCTTTGCCCAAGCCCACTCAGAAGGCAAAGCAGCCTTGGCGTTCTCAAGGATTTGTCATGCCTTCAAGCGGGGGAGAATTTGGAGTAGGAAGGGTGACTTTATGCCCGGGAGGATTCATGCAACGCCATGAGGTAACTCTGTATTCGTATACTTGCCGTGATACAGAACTAACTTAAATGGGCTAGCGGCTTCAGGATGACTTGTACCAATCAAGCTCCCTTTCTTCACCTGCAGTCCGAGATTGGTTGTCCGAAATAACCGTAACTGAACATTTGTGGTCCGCTATCACCAGTCTTATTGCGCCAGATCAATATCAGGCCGGTGTGGAATCTGTTGCTAATATGAAGGATACGGTTCGTACCTCAGATCCTGTTGTTTGGCCCTTGGAGTTTTCTGGATTGGAAGTTATTGTCAACCGAGAGACCCCAAATCACCGAGACCCTGGAGCATCACCTTCATTCTATGACCTTTTGGTGAGCCTTGGCAAAGGTCATCATGCTGTACTAGCTCTGCCAGATCTGGGTGCCGAGCTAGCATATCCGCCTGGCACTATGGTTTACATTTTAGGGAAGGTGCTGGAGCACGGGGTGCCACGGTGGGGTGATGGGGAGAGAATTGTGATTGCACACTTTGTCAAGGATAAAGTGCACGATAGGCTTGGTGTACCGAGACCAAAGTTTCCAAACCAGCGGGATTTTCTGAATAGAGTGGGGGCAGGTAAGAAGGGGGGTTTAAAAGCCATTCGGAGATCAAATAAGAGCAGGGGACGAGGAGTAGTTTCCCGAAAATAGATATCCCGATTAGACAAAGCTTGTGATTTTAAATCGGTTGACTTCTCATACACTGGAATATTTCCTCGGTCTAAGCACTATGTCCTCAAAAAAAAGGCAGCGTCTCAAGGCTATTTCTTATTCTTTCCAACATAGAGGAAAGTTATCACAAAAAAAGGATCCGGATGTTGATTATGTTGCTCACGAACCTACAAGAGACAAGAGGGGAAATCCCTCTTGGGTTGAGTCTTGTGCTGATCGGCTGTATCAAACTTCGCCAGAGCCTACTACCAGCCCAAGAAAACGAGTTAAAGAAGTACACACAGAATCACCAGACATCCAAGAAGAGGATTTAAATCAGGAAATGTTTGGTGACTTTGTTATTGACGAAGAGGCTGCTGAGCAAGGGAGAAAAACAAAGGTATGTCTAACAGGCCTTGGCTTACTAGTAATTGTTTCTCATCAATGGCATAGACACAAAATGACTTCATATCAGAGTATCTCGCTCACCGAGATGTGTATCTAGATGTCATCTTGGACTCAGAGAAATTTGCCACCGCAGGCATCTGCGAGACTTGCCAATGTGAAGATAATTCCTTCCGTTGCACAACTTGCACTGGCGACCACAGCTGGTGTCGCCCTTGTCTCCTCAAATCACATCAGTCATTGCCTTTCCACAAAATCCAATTTTGGAATGGCAAGTGCTTTGAAGACGTCACTCTTTCTGCCCAAGGATTTATATGGTACATGGGCCATGGTGGAAAGTCTTGCCCTTGCTATGGAGTTGGACAATGTCACCTTGATCAAGATTCTTCTGTGATTATTGTACATTCTTCTGGGGTGTTCACACACAATGTGTCGTGGTGTCGGTGTCCAGGATCACACCATGAACATCACCTGCAGCTGCTCCAAGCAGGACTATTTCCCGCCAGTATCACGCGCCCTAGGACTGCGTTCACCTTCGAAGTACTGGATCATTATCTCATTGATGCCTTGGAATGCAAGACTTCGGCAATGAGCTTCTTTGAGAAAATCCGACGGCTGACAAATAATGCTTTTCCAGATGCTGTCCCGGTGAGTAGAACCGACAATACCATAATTCTAGCTCATACTGAATGCAAAATCCCATCTGTAGGATCGATATCGTGAACTCATGAGAGTGTCTCGACTCTGGCGCGACTTGAAGAACCGTAAATGGTTTGGATTTGGCCATGACATGGAAGCACCCCCTAGTGCAGGAGATTTTGCTCTATTTTGCCCTTCTTGTCCGCAGCCAGGAATCAACATGCCTCTTATTTGGGAGCAGAAGTACGAAAGGCAAGTCAATTCCAGCAATCCTTGTCTGCCAGACTCCGGCCAGTACCCACAGTGCATAGCACAGCAGTGGTCCTGGCCGGTAATATGTGTCAGCTGAGTCCTGGCCGGTACCTCTTGTACGTAGCCCAGTGTCAGTCACGGCCGACCATTTGTCTCTACTGGCTTTGTCTGCCAGACTCCGGCCAGTACCCACAGTGCATAGCACAGCAGTGGTCCTGGCCGGTACCTTCTGTACTCAGCTCAGAGTCAGTCAAGGCCGACCATTTGTCTCTATTGGCCAGAAGTTGTTGGTTCCAGATAACTCGCGGATGCTGACTTTTTGATTGCAGGTGGCTTGTTATGAGAAGATTTGTGGTAGATTGGAAACTTTACCGCTCAGCACATGAACATGCGACAGCCTCAGCTTGACGTCTTCCTCTCAGATGGTTTAGGTTATATGGTAACAGCAGGAGATTACCAAGCTCACTTGGCTTCAGCTATGGAGAGTAAAGAGGTGAATCAAGTTGCTTTGCATTGTTAGTGGTGGCTGAACCTGTAGAAAGAGATCCTCATGTAGCAACCATCGGGCAGTCAATGCAGCAAACACAAACAGAAGCAACCTCCGAGCTACAGGGGTCGGAGCCACTGCTTGTGCTCGGCATGGATGTTTTGTTCCCCACTGCATAGTGGACTTTCAGAAGGGTGAACGGCAAGTTTTCTTTCATTTACTCAATCTAGGTTAAGACGAGCCTTGGGCTTGACATGCTGACAAAATCACTTCAAGCCATATGAATATAGATTATTCCATTTGCAATGCCATTAAGCATGCTGCTGGCAACATTGACAACTCCCTGATCATCTATGATGTGGGGTGCCAGTGGAGCCTTAACTTCACTCAACGTGTTGACAACTGCCCTGGATTGGAGCTCCCAGACAACACTGAGATTGTGGCTGCAGTGGGGAAATTTCACTTGAGCGCTCATAAACTTGCCTGTTTTGCTAGATACAGCTTAAACTTCATTCAAGGAGCTGGGCAAGTTGACGGGGGAAATTCTGGAGACACTTTGGGCTCCCTTTAACAAGATATCTCCCACAGCACGTTCTATGAGCCAAGCACACCGTCAAGAAATTCTTGATGATCATATGCGTAACTCAAATTGGAAAAAACTTGTCAGAATAGGTAAGTGCCTATATTTGGAATGAATGACATCACAGTTTCACACTGATGCAGTTAAGACGCTCTTGAGAAAGTACAAACGGGCCAACAAGGGCATTGAAGACACTAGGGTGCCATTTGAAGAGCTTACAGGATCTTTGGATGTCATCAAAGTGAGGGCATGGGAAAAAGATGAGGAGAAGGCAAAAGAAGAACGTGGAGAACATCTCGACATCTACCAGCTAAAGATAGCTAAAGGTGAGCACTTCGAAGCTTCTATTCAGTTCCCTGTGACGTACATTCTGATTGGGTGATTGGAAGCACCAACAATGGCAGAAATACGGCTAAAATTAACTGAATCAGAATATGCTGATACAGGGAGGTTGGGATCAATTTCTTGGCTCATTGACGGCATCAATATAGAGGATTCACAGTATGTTGTTTCATCATATATATTGATGGTGGTGATGTATTTCTAATTACTATCTAGGGATGCACTCAGGGTAGCTATTCGGCAGCTTCCCAAAGATGCATCTGCAGTTCAAAAGGCTGCAGTTCAAGTGAAACGACAAAAACTGGCTGCACGTATTTCGAAATTTCATGAAATTGCTGATGCTATGACAGAGGGCATTGAAGTCCATGGGGGGTACTGAGCACATGGATGACATCAGATTTTGCACTACAGATGTGGTGGAGGAAGTACGCGAGGCTGCAGATATTGAAGATGTGTTGGAAGAGATTGATGAGGAAGTTCCTGCAGAAGCCATGGGCATTTGGATGCCATCTTCAGTGCTCCGAAATGAGGCTTTAGCCCTGGGCTTGCACACTCTGCAAGCTGAAGAACTGGAGGTTACGAAAGGGTCAAGCAAATGATTGCTTGGAAAAGTTACGGCAGGCTCTCGGTCATAAAGCGATAATTTACCGTCAACATTTCCGAAGTGCAGATTCCACATGGACAGGAACCAGGTCAAAGCAGGAGGCTCTTCGATGCCGTATCAAAATAGAGAAGTGTGTCCGAAGGTATCAAAGGGCAAGGGGTTCAATGCAGAGACTAGGGGCTGATGAAGATACTCTGAGGACGATTTATCAAGACATTCAGCCACACCAGCTCAGTGTGGACAAGGAAGTGACGGAAGAGAACAGATATGGACAGGGATCAGACAGACTGGCTTGGTTTTGGCTAGTCAATAATGGTCATGATTCGCAGGAAGATGTTTGGATGGATGAATGTAAGTCATATCTAATATGCCTATTTTCTGCAGTGACAGGTATTAGTCTACAGGGTAAATTGGTTGAAAGCTAAGGCTAGATGGCAAAGGTGGGAGGAGGAGTTGAGATTGGTCCAACACGAATGGGTTGGACAGTGAGTTGGTTTAAATACAGGATGGAAGAATGGGACCAAAGATACCGACAAGCTACAAAGCCTGGTCATCAAGCTTATGCACATCGACAGGTGCTCTTGTGGGGAAGATTTGCATTGGATGCTGAAAATTCATTCAAAGACAAGATGATTGTAGTCACTTAACAGTCTTGGCTATTATAATATCAAAGACTTATCTAGCCAATATATGATAGTTATGGTGGTCAGGAACACTGCATATACCTCATACTCTAGAGCTGGCCCATTTATACTTGCAGATAGTACAATTTGAATGACTAACTCTCAAGTGATAGTACTAAAATCAACATCTTTCTTGATAATACTTTGTCTAAGGTATTAGCCTGGAGATGGCTCGGCTGGCTCTGGTATCAATGTCTGAAGTATCGGCCTGCCTGCTTGTACACCACATGATCCTGATCCGGCCGACTCTGTTATCAATGTCTGAAGTGTCGGCCTGCCTGCCTGTACGCACCTTGGTCCTGATCCGGCCGACTCTGTTATCAATGCCTGATGTGTCGGCCTGCCTTCTTGTACACACCATGGTCCTGATCCGGCCGACTCTGTTATCAATGCCTGATGTGTCGGCCTGCCTTCTTGTACACACCATGGTCCTGATCCGGCCGGCTCTGTTATCAATGCCTGAAGTGTCGGCCTGCCTTTCTGTACATGGCCTGGACATGCACCGGCCGGCTCTCTCATCAATACCATGAGGAAACCCACACTTTCCTTATCATTCTTGAGTTGTTTTAGATACTTGGGTTCTTGACCATGATGCTCAACATCACATAAGACATGAACACTTATATATATTTGTATACTTACATTATCTACTGACACTGATCAACTTGCATAAGTCAAATATCCTGCTGGACTTGAGTATCTTAGAAGTGCAAGTCATGGAAAGACTTGGCCAAGTATTATACAGTTATTCAACAATGTGTAGGTTTTTGCTGATGCCCTAAGTTGTTGGCTGGTACTGATGTATGTGTGTAGGGAGCCTCACTTGGGTGGTCGGCCAGTACCATCCCCACACCTCTGGCCAGCACCAATGTGCATGTATAAGCAGAGGTCGGCCAGTACCATCCCCACAGCTCTGGCCAGCACCAATGTGCATGTACAAGCAGAGGTCGGCCAGTACCATCCCCACAGCTCTGGCCAGCACCAATGTGCATGGACAAGCAGAGGTCGGCCAGTACCATCCCCACAGCTCTGGCCAGCACCAATGTGCATGTACAAGCAGAGGTCGGCCAGTACCACCCCCACACTCTGGCCTGCACCAATGTACATGTACAAGCAGTGGTCAGCCAGTACCCACATGTATAGACAGCCTCACCTAGTGGTTGGCCAGTACCACTCTCACACCTCTGGCCAGCACCAATGTACATGTATAGGCAGTGGTCAGCCAGTACCCACATATATAGACAGCCTCACCTGAGTGGTTGGCCAGTACCACTCTCACACACTTGGCCGGCACCAATGTGCATGTACAGGCCGGTGCTGGTTGGTACACATTCTACAGCCATTTGGCACATCCGGGGCACCACTTGTACATAG